CCCCCAGCGAACAACAACAAGTCCCCCCCCCCTTGTTGTTCGACCCCCCCCCGGGAACAACAAGTCCTCCCCCCCCTCCCCGCACTTGTTGTTCGACCCCCCGGAACAAGAAGTCCTCTCCCCCCCCTTGTTGTTCGACACCCCCGCCCCCGGAACAACAACCCCCCCCTCTCCCACTTGTTATTCGAGCCCCCCCCCCGCGAACAACAAGTTGGCCCCCTCCACTTGTTGTTCGACCCCCCCCCCCAGAACAACAACCCCCCCCCCACTTGTTATGCGAGCCCCGCCCCCCCGAACAACAAGTCTCTCCCCCCCCCCCCCACTTGTAGTTCCAGCCCCCCCCCCCGAACAACAACTCCCCCCCTCCCCCCCACTTGTTATTCGAGCCCCACCCCCCCGAACAACAAACCCCCCCACCCCTTATCGAAGGGGTATGACAAAGGGAAAGCTCGGCTCCTTTCTCCCTTCCGAAACAAACCCGTCAGATGCTTTGGTCATGTCCTGGGGCTGCTTCAGGAACTTCATCAGCTTGGCATGCAGAGACTCGGACTTCGCTCCCGCCGCCGCGGCCGGGGCCGCCGCGGTGGGGTCTGCCGATGAAGCCTCGAGGTCGAAGGGCTCCCAAACCTGGCGGAACGACGTGAGCTGAATACACGAATCAGAACGACGCGAGCAATCTCTGGGTTCATTTGCTCGCCCCCAACAACCACATGGAACTCAAATGGGTCTCGGAGGTGTCCGTTAATCTGCCAGGGACTGTGCGATCCAGGTTTCCCACCAATGCGAACCCAGGATCAAACCCCTGGGCTGATAAATAGAGAGTACCCTTCACTTCGAGGGAAACTCCCCTATCGCTGCGACAGGTGTATCATCCGAGGATGACTTGCAGCTTTGGAGGTGTGGAGCCTGCTCTCCAGCCAACAAACATGGCTCCCGGAATCGACCCATACAAAAGCACCTCCAAAAAGGAAGGGTGAGTCTTTCTGGCTTCCTTCTCTTCACCCTCCCATCCCTCCCACCCCTCCCACCCCTCCCACCCCTCCCTCCACCTCGGTGCGCTCCGGCAGAGGCCGGCTGTGCAGCTTGGCTGCCGTGGCCGCCGGCAGCTGGCGGCTCAGCAGCGCCTGGGCCAAGGGCTCCAGGATCTCCACGTGAGGCGGGGAAGCACCGAAGATCTGGTTCCTCGAATGGAAAAAACCCACGGTTTCTCCTGTTGGGTGGCCGTTTCAGGCAGTTTAGGGTCTATGTGTTCAGGGCTTGAGCCGGGAGCCGGGTGGCAGTTTAGGGTCCATTTGTTCAGGGCTTGAGCCGGGAGCCCCCCCCCAAAAAAAATATAAGAAAACATGCAAGCATGTTTATCGTCCGAAACAGCAAAAAGGCACTGTGCCACCCGTGCTTTTGGCCAAGGCTCAGCAGGAAGAGTGAGGTGGTCCAGCTGGGTGCCTGCGGCAGGTCCCCATTCTTTGTGGGGGACCTGCCGCAGGTGAGGCTGTGCAGCAGCGAGGGGTAGCAGGCGTAGTCCAGGAACTGCTGCGCCAGCAAAGCGCTCAGCTCCGGGATGTTCATCTGCAACACCTCGCTCAAATACCTGGCTACGTTTAGCAGCTTAGCAGCTTAGCACCAATCTCCGGACAAGGCCACAAGCATAAGCCTGGGGAAAAACAAGCATTGGCTTGAGCTGGGTCGTTGGGCGCGGTAGGGGGCAAACTCTCTAAAGCTTCAGCAACAAGAGCCAAAGCCGGGAAATCGGGATAGACAGGGCAACCTGCCAGAACTTGACCCCAGGCTGCACAAGGTGCGTTGACCACAGCGTCAAGAAACCATTAGCCTCCTGCCGGGCCTGTCGGGCTCTTTTGGGCCCCCTTTCCTGCAAAAGGTCCAGCAAAGAGCAGCACCCTCACCCTCCCTAAGCTGAATTGACTGGGCTGCATCACCAGGTCCTTCTGCTCCTCGTTCTTCCCCTCCAGCGTTCTGGCCTCCACATCGTCCAGCTGCGCCCACAGCAGCCGCAGGTGGCCCATGAACCGCTCAAAGTATTGCCTGGAGCCCACAAACCGGGCAAACATGCTGGCCAAGAACATGAAGGTAGTGAAGATGAGAGGCTCTCACTCTGTTCAACCAGACGAAAGGATCGGTAGGCGAGTCTCGGCGGCTCAAGCGGCTGCCAGTCCGGCCTCGACACCCTCAGCACAAACTTCTGCATGGCCGCGTCTTGGACGCTGAACACTCTCAGGGTCAGAGTCCGCACAGCGGTACAGACCATGTTGTCATGGTGGCTAAAAAAGCGAATGGCCTGCGTGTAGAGGGGGAACTGCTGGGTGTGCTGGTTGAAGAAAAACCTGGCTGCTAGCATTTCGTTCAAGGATGACTATGGCGACCCTGGCACCTAACATCCTACGCTTTCAACAGATTCTCCGGCGCTTTGGCAGTGAAGTTCTATCTCTCTCTCTCTCTCTCGACAGGGCGCGTGATGATATCTTGGTTGAGCCGCATCGCAAGAGACTTCAGAAAGCTGATGTAGTAGGTGAGAATCTCCTCATCCGCCCAGTCAAACTGTGTGGCAATGAGCTGGTTCACGTGATTGTTGCTGAAGAGGTAGTAGAGATTTGTGCGACTCGCCGGCAAGTGACCACGCAACAAGATTCGAGCGGTTGCCCGCGCTCACGAGAGGGGGACGGTCATCCGATGCAAGTGAGTGAAGCAACAAGATTACACTCACCTACGCATAGATTGTGCTTTTGTCACAGCGACAAGTCTGCTGTGATGGGGTGGGAGGTCTGATGAGGCCACCACAGCCGCAATCTTAAAACATCATGGAGATGGCGCGCAACCAATTGCATCTAGAACCAAGCAACACCTGTGATGTGGCTGGGGAGAATGGGAGGCATTGTTATCGGTTGGAGTTGCCCTGACGTCCCACTCAAAGCTCCGTCCTGAAGGGCAGGAGGCACAAAGAAGAGTGCAGATACTTCCCTCCCCAACCCCCACCCCCAGTCCGCCCGTTTTGATCACTGGGCTCCCCGGCTTGGAGGCGCTGGTGTTCTGGATCAGCATGGAGAGGCTCTGCAGCAGCTGGACCTTCACCGACCTCGGCGCCTGCCGCCCCACGATCCCGACGAAGTCCGCCAGGATGTCTCAAGCGCGCGCTCGGCGGAAAGGTGGCCCGGCCGAGACCCAGCGGACCAGTGGACACCGAGAAACAAAAAAACAAGCTTTGTGGTGGCTCCCGGAGGTGATGCACAAAGCACGTGCTTGATGGGTTTCAGGGGGTTGGCTTGATGGTCAATTTAGCTTCGGGTCAATTCAGGGCAGGCTAAATGTAGGAATGAAGGCCACATCAGAGTTTGAGTTTCAGTTCAGGGAGGAAGTTGAGGTCAGTTTGGTTTGGGTATAGGATCAGTTGAGGGATTGGGATCAGGTTGGGTTTGGGGGGCCAAGTTGAGTTTGGGGTTAGAGTTGGTGTATGTTTTGGTTTAAGGTGCCTTCAGCCGCGGTTTTTCATATGGTCGGGGTTGAGGCTTACGGCGCCCACCGCGAGACCTCGAGCGGGTGAAGGATTGGTTGACGTCTTAGGTCTGGGCTTGGTGCAAAGATGATCCGCCGCCCTGCCAAAAAGATGGGTCCCATTTGGAGGGAACAGCAGAGGAAACCTCGCAGCATCCCCAACATTGCCAACATCACCGCCGCGGCGTGCTGATTGTGCGCCATTGTTTTGGCAGTTCGGAATTGTGGGTCGTGTTTAGATTTTGTTGGAAGTACGAGTTGTGGATTGTATCAGACGTACGAACAGGGTCGCTAGAAAAAATAAGAATTGCTGACTGCGGGATGGCCATGAGTGGATGTGAATGGCTTGCAAATCTGACTTCTCAGCATCGGCGGGGTGGGGTAACATGTCATTCCTGGCGTTTATGCCACAATGCTTCATTTGAAAATTATGGTTGGCGATTCCTTGTTTCCTCGAAGTTGGTTCCCAGTGCTGGTGTCCAAAACAAACATGTTTTCTTTTTCTTTTTTTTGGCTCAAACTTGCCACAGCTTTCATTGCCACTGGCGGTTCCATTGTCATCATCCGCGTCGGCCCAAGCTGCGCTGCTTCCCTCTTGGGCTCCCATAAACAAGAATGGCTAAAGGCGGAGCTCAGGGTCTCCGAAGATTCACAACAAGAAGGAGGCGCAATCAGGCCATCCAAATGAAGATGAAACGAATCCAAGGGGCTCTTTTCGCAGAAGAAATCGAAGAAGTTATCGTTCTGGTCGTTCTTCAGCCCCCAAATCAGCATCTCCGTCATCTCCCTAATCACTTCCACTTTCGCCTCTCCATCATCTGTCTCGTTCGTGGACTGCAGCCTTCCGGTGGCACCCGGTACCCAGTGGCTCTGGAGCCAAGTGCAATGTCACAGTTCAAGATGTACCTTCTGGCCTTGGCCTAAACACAACTAACTGGACGCGAAATGACCACATGGCGGTCAAATGCTCCTCATTCCGGCAGGTCTCATGTGAACGTGGGGTTTGCATTCGCTGTCTGTTGGCCCACCCGCCCGAAGAAAAATTGTGCAGGGGTACAACAGGACTTTACTACTGCTTCTCAGCACCAGCACAAACCATGATGATGAACTGAACTGACGACGCAAGGAATCTTCCAAGACGCCGACACTCCAATCAAGTGCCCGTGCCTCTCATGCAGAGCTTGCAGCTTCTGCAAGGAGTAGGTTGGCTGTCTGCTTCTGTCAGCGGAAAATAGGCCAAAGATCGCTGAAGCCATGGCCCGAGCTCAGAGGCTCAGGGAGCCGGCAAAGCCATCAAGGTCAGGCGCGTCAAGCGCCACTTCTGTTCTCTGACATGTTCCATGGCTTACAGCTCATATGCTCACACGAATGCACCCGCTAATGTGGAGCTTACATCTGTTTGATTTCTGGATGTGTAGCTTGGATCAAAACCGCCATTCCGGTCGCGCACTTGCATCCCACGCCAGAATCCCAGCTCAAGGCCAGCCCTTTCGCACCTCAAAGGTGGCGCCGTAGTCCACCGCCAGCATGAAGCCTCAGCTTGAGAAATCCTCAAGCACTCCCCTTGAGCAATGTCTCTTTTCGCAAAAAGAGCGAAACAAGCACAAGCGGAAGGGTCAGAGCCGCAGCTTTCGATTGATAGTGCCTGTTTTGGAGCGCTGCCGCGCCGAGTGATCCATCATTTGTGCCAACCCCGGCTCATTCGCCCTGTTGCGATGAAAACAAAAGCCTTGGAAGCCACCAAGGCTACTTTGGGCCCCTCCCCAAGGTCGATCGGGCGCTGGACCGGCACTGCCCACAAGGCAGTTGACGAGCTCCACAAAGTTGCGCTGGCCGAGCGGGAGAAAATACGCGTCCAGCTAATGGAGAACCCTTATTCCACCGGTGTAAGGGCAATCCAACACAAACCACCTAGAAGGGTCCTTGCTTTTGAGAAACACCAACATGAAGAACTGAGCACCATCTGAATAGATTCCATCGCGAGAAAGTGCGGCAGTCCTAGGGTCCCACTTTGACATGGCAAGAGTCGTGTTTGGCCTGGCCTGTCCTACCCTAAGAGTCGAGTCTCTCAAGGGATCCATGACGTGGGTCACGCAAGACGGGCGCCAATACACCGCGCGGCCCGGCGACTTTACAAAGCCCTAGTTTTTGCGAGCATTTGGATTGGGGAGAAACCTCAGCCTTGCTGGATTCAGCAGACGCAAAGCGGCACAACAAGAAGAATTTAAAATATTCAAGGTAACACCCCCATGAGGGGGGGGGGGGGGGGGTAAATACCAGTGAATTTGGCCAGTATCTTGCCAAGCTGAGGGATCATTGAAATGTGTGCGTGTCCACTGTTGCAAAGGTGGGGGGGTTCGCCGGGGGGGGGGGGGGGGAGGGGTTTCGGCGGGGGGGGAGGGGTTTCGCGGGGGGGGGAGTTCGGGGGGTTGCGGGGGCCGGTTACAGTCATGGTTTGCGTCCGACATCTGCTTGCAGCTTTTCAGGTCATGTCGCAGGGAGCCCCGTCAACCCCACCCCGTCCATCTTGTGTCAATATCGTATTCCAGTGATCTGTTTTTGCAAGTTGGACAAGAATGCTGAATCATGGTGCACGCAAGTGATATTCTTTTGCCAGTTGGGCAAGACAATGCAGAAGCATTGCGCACGCAAGTCATTCTATTCTCGCAAGTTGGGCAAGACAATGCGCGCTCAAAAAAAGTTGGAGGGAACCGAGTTTTTCTTGTCGGACGCAGTGCTGGCAAAAACCCACGCAACAGGTTTGAAGAGTTAAGAAAATCAAGGTGCGCCTGAACAAGTGAATTACGTTTCCCTTCCGTAACCCTTGCGAGGTAGCCATCAGTTGAGAGATCCACTGCGTGCTTCGTCCAACCTCGCCCGGCCGAAGCAGCAGCTGGATGTTGGGGTAGCCCAAAGGCCTGCGCGACAAATACAACAATGCTTGGGGAACACATCGCACTTTTTGCATGAACAACTACCGAGTCCAGAGTGTGTTTCTATGGTCACAAAAGCCCAAGTTAGCTGAGGCGCCTTGGCTTTGTCATCAAGCACTCCTATGTCCCCGCGCCTGTACACGTCGATCAATCGGTGAATACGGGCCTGCCAGCAGCTCAATGCGCGAGCCAAAAGCTCGAGATGCACCGAAACGTGGCCCTGGTGATGTTTTGATGCTTTTTTGCCACAAGAATCCTTGCAATGACCAAACAGCTTCTTATTTCGTGACACCTGCAGTCGCCCAGGCAACTCATCCCCTCCCTCCCGGCCTCGTGCACCTCAAACCACCACCTCAGGCCACAAGCTTACCTCAACGTGGACGCGTCGCGTGGCGCATCCCATCGAAGCCGAGCAGCTGCAAATCCCCACAGCGCTCCTCTGAAAGCGGCACTGGGACCTGCAATGCATGGGCTCCTGCCTGAACAACGATATATGACCATTTGGACCATCCCTATCACCAAGTGCCGAATTGGTTATAAGCCATAACTGACCCGGAAGTCACAAATTGAGTGCATTGGTCCATGGACAGCAAATACCAAATGTGGCCCAAGGATTGGCAAGGGGGTTTCCCCCTCAGCCCCGCCCCCCAAGCGGATGCCCCAATGTTCCCGGCCTGGCGCGTGGTGGTGGCAGCCAGAAAGCGCACTTCCAGGTCATGGGCCTCGTGCCAAATTCCTGGGACCTTTCTGGCTGAAGGGGTCTCTCTCCGAATAGAACCTGCGAAATCCGGGGTTTGCGCTCGATTCCCCGTTGAACCCCCCAAAAAAAAACGCAGCCCTGAAGCCGAAATAAAACGCCAAGCCTCAACCCCAAAAAGGCGACGTCCATGGGCCTCTCTCAGCTGATGCCGAAGCATGCGGTAGACCTGTGGGCTGACTGCGCTGGGCATCTCGGAGCATCTTAAGTTGAGGCTGCCACGACCCCTTTGCATCCCACCCGCTAGAAAACAGAGCAAGGATCAAAGAATCCCAGCACAATAATTGGGTGATCCAAATCACCACACTGACGCCCCAATCAGGTCGCAAATCATGAACGTTTCCCGACCGCCCTTTTCGCAAAAACCAGCAAACTGACCGAAAGGCTGTGCTGCCGTCAAGGGCAAAAGAGACATGACATGAATGTCAAGGTCAGAGACCCATACCCCTTCCCAAAAAGACCACAAACAAAACATGTGTGTCCCTCTTTCCCTGCCCCACTTTGGAGACGTCTCACTGCCAAAAACTTTTTTGAAGAACGTCCGCCGCCATCGCATCGCGCCTGCCGCGGCAGCACCACGGAGCCCTCAAAGGTCACCTGCCAGCGGCACCTCTCTCAGGTGAGTCACTTGCTCAAAACCCAGTACAAAAATGGTCTACCCAGAACCATATAAAGAACTAAGAAGGCGGATATCCGCAGCTATTCTGGTTGGGATGGTCCCTTACTAACCGGATCATCTACCCGGGTTTCTATTGTGACTCAGGCCACAGGTCCCACCGTCCCAAGCTCCGCCTCCAGCTGGGCCACGGTCTCCTGGAGCCGCCGGCAGAGCTCTGTGTCCTGACCGAGTCACCGTGCCGACGCCTATCTGAGAGGGTCAACAACGGACCGACCAAGGACGGCCCTTTTTTTGGACTTGTCGTTTCACGTTTGTGGGATTTGCTAATAGCATGGCACCCTCGCAAACATAGGATCGCCTTTCGGCATGACACCGGATGTAGCAAGGAGCGTGGGCAACCTGCACCATGCGGGCAAAACTACAAGTTGGCCAGTCGTGCCACTAATGCAGAGTATGGCAGGCTTGATATTGCACGAGATCAACCCGTCACATCGAACTTCTTCAATCTGCTGGGCATGCTGAAAAAACAGAAAGAAGATGTCACCCTGATTGCCACAATCTAGTGCAGGTTTTGTAAAAAACCTGAGCAAAACTGGCACATGCTCTTCGCTCGCCTACAAGACGAGTCGTTCGGTTAAGCAGACCTCCGCTCGGAGCTGCCCGGCGCAGTCCTTGCGCAAGCGCAGCCGCATGTTATGAGCAGCAGCGGGAAGCTGCAGGTCGTGGTGGTTCCTGATACGCAGTCGGGTGCATAACACCGCGAGAGGTGTCACCATGAGTTCTTTAGACAACCCAAAAGCGATGCCTGGCCTGGTGTTTGTGCTTCAAAACTGGTAGATTAGGCCGCGTCCCTACGAAACAGCGTCGGAAGGCCCTCTCTGCGCTCGGTAGCTCTGGCAACATGCCAGGTGTGCATCAGTTCGCTGAGAGCGATCACCATAGCAAGGCAACTACCTCAGACCAAAGGCATCTGTTCCATAGGAACCTCCTGAATCGTGCCCGTGTCATCACTCCAAGGCGAGCCGCCAGACAGGGTCTGAGAAACGTGAGTGGCCAACAATGGGGCTCAGGGCATCTCCGCTTTCTCGCGTGGCCCTGGGCTTCAGTCGACTCATTCTTCAGACACCCCCCTAAGGTGTGCGCTGCTAGGTGCGCAAGCCATGGCCGCCTTCAGCGATCAAGCCGTGCAGGAGGCTGGCAAAAACAGAGATGCCCACATGGCAAACTTGGCGAACCACCGGGAACTGGTACCCTGTGGTAGTAGAGGTCGTTGTGTTGGTCCCTGGATCTATTCCGGAGAGAATCCAATATGCCACTGTGGATGATTGGAGGATGGATTGTCCCTGGTGGATTGTCTTGTGGATAATCCTGTAAGCGGCCTGCTAAGGTTCTTTTGCTTCACGCGATCATGAATGATGCAATGATATACAAAAGGGGCCTTGAGCCAAATGTTGCGGGAGATCAATTGGTCTGAGAACCAAACACAAAACAGACACAAATTTCTTTTGATCTCCAGCACTAAGTATGAAATACTATTGGCTTCATGGCCTTTGGCCGTAGCCTTGATGTATGCCGTAGCCATGCTGTATGCCGTAGCCATGTGTGTTAAAAATGCCGGATTCATCCTCTTTTCTGCTCGGATGAAATGTCTTGGCTTTCGAAATGGAAAACACTATGTACTGCTTCTTTTTGAGATACCTAGATGTATTAAAGGGTGATGTACAACACTATGTGCGCGCGGGACGATTGTGAAACTATTGATCTCTCACTCATGGTATAGTCTTGTAGACGGCGAGGATCAATCATCTGAATTGAGTTCGTGGCGCTGAACGTATGAATCTTCATGGTCAGTCGGATCGACGATACCATCGGCGGCTGCTGTCGGATTGACTGCCATAGTCTCCATAATCCTTCCAGGTCGAGTTGCTATAGTCCTTCCACTGCTTCTGATGTCCCCACTGCTTGTTGTAGTCCTTGTACTCCTGCGGGGTCCAGGCTTGTTTCTTCTTGATGTACTCCTGGTATCTCTCAGAGCTGCGTTGCCTGGTTGCAGATTTGCTGCGGATGTAAACCATGAGAGGACTGTGAGAGTCGGAGTCCTGCGAGCCATTCATGAACATGTCATTGTTCACGTGCTTAAAGCGCTCTGCGGATGAGACCTGGTAATCGAAGATGGCCTTGGTTGGATGGTTCCGCATGAATTCCAGTTGTTCATCATCCATGCCGTTCCTCTTATCCTTCCGGAAAGCCTGCTGGATGTTCGTTTTGCCCCATCCAAATACGAAAGTCATCATCACATCTGGGAATGTTCGATCATATCCTGATCCACACTTCATGTACAGGTGATGACGGACAATGGATTTTAGGGTGCACGAAGTCTCCATTGCATACTCCATTCTGTCCACGAGTGGCAATTCTTTCGTTTCATTCCACAGTCTCTGATATGCTCTCATGAGGATGTTCACGAGACCGTTGGCCGGATTGAAGACGTGCTGGAGTTTGCTGTAGGTGTTCGCTGATTTGTTGGCGAGCGGCATGATTTCATTTTGAAGATCTTCCCTTGCTGCTCCATGGCTAATTGAAGGATGGATGTGGAAAACTCCAATGGTAGCGAATGGGAGATCTGCCCTCGTTATGTGGCGGTCGTCATACTCGTGGAGTGACTTGTTGGATGATTTCGGGATCATGCCACGAAACTCATCACTCTGCTCGATATGATGGATTCCATGCCTTGGATCATGTCGAAGACATCCGGAAAATGATCTGCTCATTCTCTCAATTCGCCAGAGGATGAGATCTGTGATCTGTTTCGCCTTGGATGGATCCATGCGGAAGTATTTGCAAACCTGTTCGACATTCTGGACGGTCTTCTCGAGATCAATGTTGCCGTTGTGGCATACCATCGGGATGATGTCGGTTCCGTAAACTTCGGATTGAGCATTGGTGTAGCAGCAGATGCTGTAGACCTTCTTGATGAAGTCCATGTATTGCTTCTCCGTATGAGGTCCTTCACCTGGCTGCCAGTAATCGTTGAATCTGGCCTTCAACCAGAATACCTTAACTCCATGTGGTCTCTCATGCTCAGGAACGAAGTGGAAATCCGGATTGACATCGAGGATGGTTGAGCATTCCCTGTAGTACTCGTACACAAAATTCAGGAATTTTGAGTTTCCGAAACGGATTCCTTCTGGAGGCTGATGTTTGTATCCGATCCATATGTTACAAACCACCGATCATTGGATGTGAGAACAGGCCGCATCACTGGTCGCCTTGGAAGTGCAGGCCGATCACCAGGATGATTGTCGGATTCCGTCTCTTCATCCAGGATGTTCTTTGGTGCTGGCTTGACCTTGGAGACAAGCCTCAATGCTGGTGGCGGTGACTTTGGAACAAGTTTCGGATGCGGCATCGCCTTTGACGTAGGCCTTCCTGCGGGAGGATGCCCTTCTTCATCTGAATCATCGTCGTCGGAATCTGGATCATAATCAACCTGCTCCATGTTGACATTCTCGGGTTGCTGAGAGGCGGATGGATTCTCATCGGCGACTTGCTCCATGGGGCAGTCTGATGTCTCATCTTCTGGATCGTCCGAAGATCATATTGAGAATGGGCATGTCTTCGAAGTGATCGAGCATACAAGATTGCAAAGGTCGGATTGGTTGTAAACCGAAAGTGGCTGCGGATGCAGACACATATTTCTTGAGATTCAAAATGGGTCAAGTGCAAACACGCGCATCACGGATTTGAGGAATTGAAAATATGCAAAACGGAAAAACTCATGCATCAGAATTCGTGGACATGCGGATCATGCCCAGGTTCCCCAATAAGCAAACATGGATTCTGCTACACCGACTCCTGCAAAAGCAATGATGTCGGGTCCGTGCTTCGTGTTGTGTGCTAGCCACTCAACCAAAAATGCCTTGTTCTGCAACATGGTACGGAAAGGTGGATGTGCATCTACATTCAAGAGATTGCCGGTGAGGACGGCCTTGATGAGCTCGTCTGCTTTAGCTGAATGCTTGGTCAGCGAATCTGCCAGACAATCTTTGTTTCTTTCTGTTGATGTGTTGTGGATGCTGTGGTGACAAGATTGTTCGCATCAGTGCGGATGTGTACATCTGCAATTTCGCCCGTTATGTCTGACCAGAGGCCGCGAAGAAATAATGCTGAACCGTAACAACGCATTAGTCCGTGCAACTCTGCAACAGTAGTGGACATGGTTGTGGCGGTGATCTTGTGCGTCTCATAGTCGACCAGTGAGCCTCTCGAGTTCGATGAGCCCTGGCGAAGATCTCTTTGTTCTGCAAGAAAGATAACATGCGCACGTTGGGATGACTTATCCTCGTTGTTGCGATAGGATGCATCTGGATAGCCAACTATGCGTGTCTTGCCACGAAGGGGCCAGAATCTCACGCTAAGCGGGATGCTTTTGATGGTTCTGACTGTCTTATTAATGGCGCGAACGTCCTCAATGGTCGGTGATGATGCCTTGGATGCACACCTGGAGAATTGATAACCAATGTGGAACTGCGTTCGCGACTGTAACCAGTTGATCTGACCTAGGACACTTCTGTATGCAGTATGCATTTGTGGAGTAAGAGGAGTGTCGTCCTTCAGGTGTTTGTCAAAAGTGATCTCCTGCAGTTCGTCGATGGCAACATTCTGATGAACATTGATGTACCAACCGTGCTTGTCATCTTGCTTCCATTGGATGCGCTGTCCTACGAAGAGGCAATCATTTTTGTCCTCGGAACCAACCTGAAAATCTTTCCGAAGTCGTCCCATGATTTCCTTCTCGAACACGTCATCCCCCGTCATAAGAAGATCATCTACATGAAGAGACAGTGCTCCATGAACTTGTCGATTCTTGGCATTGTTACCAGAAACAGGATCCATGAGGTAATCAACTGCTCCTTCGAGATCGAAAGTTGTGGATGACTTCTTTTCACTCACCAATGCGGGCTTCGGAAGCTGCTTGCCGTAGTACACGTATGTACAACGGTCTGCCCGGGTTGGCACCAGTCCGTAGGAACGAAGTGCCGAGTCAAGGATGTTCCACCATCTGCGGGGTGCGTCATTCAGCCCGTAGCCAGGCTTCTTCACGCGCGCTCCAATGTGTGGTGGATATCCCATTTCAGGAGGTATCTGACAAATGTCACGAGACTGATCGTATGCTTCGCCTTGGAGAAATGCTGTCTTCAAATCCATGTGGAATATATTCCAGCCTTTATTTGAGGCTGCTTGGCTTGCAAGGCGGAAACCACTCCTGGATGCAGCAGGACTGTCTGTCTGCTGATCATTCTTCTGCTTGTCTTGGGAGCCTCGGAGGACCCAGCGAGATTTGGTCTTCAGGAAGTTACCATCCTTGTCTCGCTTCAGGGTTAGAACCCAGCGACCGGTGACCCAGTTCCTGTGAATCTTGCGTGTATCGACTAAGTCGAACACTTCATTGTCAAGCCATGATTTGCACTCAAGCTGCTTGGCTTCTAGGAATTGCTTCTGATAAGCTCTTATTTCCGTGGCTGTAGCTTCCTTCCGCTTCTTGCCAATGAGTGCGGATGTGGATGAAGCCTTCAAGGATTCTTGCTTGGATGAATACAGAACTAAGAGTGCACGGTCATCGTCGGTCATGTTCTTGCATAACTGGTCAACATGATTCTGATCTGTGTGTTTCTGATGAGAGAATCCGCATCGGGGCGATGGGCTGAAGGTCCCTTTCACACGTCCAAGAAGGACAGGGTTGCCTTCGATATCTCTCGGAACCGTAAAGGATCCGGTGTTCGCACAGATCTTCTGTTCGGCTGTCATGAGTGACCAATGCGCTTCATCTAGAACGAGATCAGCTTGGTGATCATCGTAGGATCTGGTCCTCTGAGAGTCTTCTGAATCTCCATCTTCCTGGTCAGTGTATCTCATGGTTCTTTCTGAACTTCCAGTGCCGGATGAGGTTGGAACATGAGGAATCAGTTCTTCCTCACTTTCATATGGGACCGGCAAATTCGCTGGATTGCTCGGATTATAATTGGATGAAGATGCAGGATCATGTCTGGGAGAATGCCCAGGTGACTCATCATTGTCATCTGGCTTCTTCTTCTTCCCAGTCTTCTGCTTCTTTGATGGACTGCCGGTTGTTTCTTCTTGCGCAAGTGTTGGCAGTTCAAGATCTTC